CAACAAAATCGAAAAGAAGGAGGTTATTGTTTCTAGACCACAAAACTATAAATATATTTGTCACCATTGATTTGTGAGTTAGACATTGTACAATATTGGACTTCAGCTAGATATACTCGTATTACAATGGCAAAATGCAAGCCAATGAGGAAGTATTAAAATAAAACATGAAATTCCCGAAATCAAACTAGATGTCGCTACGGTACGTTCTTGATTTCTCCGTGACAAACCTTCCGGTTTTCTTTCATTTTGAAAAGTAAATTAGTTTTCAAAACTCAATAAACAACTCATATTCTATTTCTACCTTTTCGTATCTAAGTTTCGAACTTTTCAAATTTCAGTTTTTTAATATGATAGTTAAAAGGAACGGAAATGACCGTCTTTGGTCTATTCGTTTCCTGCAAAAATCAACTTTTGCTAGAGTCGCCATGTAGTGGAGGTGCTTTTTTAGTGCTTTCGGTTTTTTTTAAATACTCATTAATAAATAATAATACATTGTTACGTAGCTCGGTAATGTAGTGGATAAGCGTCGCGGCCCACGGTCGCTGTTGTTAAGCAACTTTCGCGAGGGCCGGTCACGGGATGGGTGACCAAAATTAATTATCTTCAGATAATCCTTGCTTCGGGGTCATTAATACTCTCCAATCCTCATTGGCCCAGCGTGTAGGGTCATGGCCCTTCCTCCTTAACCATTTATAAGGAAGGCCTAAGCCCCTGTAGAGGAAACTTAAAAGGGCTAGTGATGACGAATCAAATGATTATAGAACGCTTCTAACATTGTTTCCTTTCGAAACAAAAGGGTACCTACGAAAAAAATTGTGAAATAATTATTTTAATATGACCACAGATATTATGTTTCATTTTGCATACTCATTGTGCGTATGTACGGATGAAAAATATACCGACTCACCGAGAGAGAAATACCTACCCGTATTTAGTTCTTCGATATACATATAATAAATAATATATCTATTAATTTTTGTGTTGCTACATTAAGTTTGCTGTCTTTAACTTTGATAGAAGACCCACAAAAAGTGTCAAGACACTTTGGGTCTTCTTGGGTCACACTGCGGAGCTTCTGTTGTTTAGAACATGTGAATGGATTCATTGTGTTTATGTTGAAGTAAACAAAAGCTTGAAATATTACCAAGTAATAATGGTATTCATAGGTCATAGTTAACGATACAACAAAGAGTCTGTTGTATTATTAATCCGAGTTTTGGGACATAAAATGATTTTGAATTTATTGAAATGAATAGCGAAGGTAGAAAAGGTAAAATCGGCTTTTCCAGTCATTAAACATATATTTTTCTCAAGCAATTTGTTCTACTAAAGAGATAAGTACCTACCTACCCGGCTATTATGCTTCTCAACCACAAGGGCAGATCGAGCTTTCAAGTCAGGGCATCCTCTAGGTGTATAGCCTCCGGGCCGATCCCGTACATCGCCTTCCAAACGAGGGACATCGCTGAGTTTTAGTGGGTAAACTCCTGCTTCTTGTCAAGCCCCTTCGGGGGTGGGGCCACAGGAGTCCCACATAACCCGTATGCGTTACGCATTTCTCAGTGTCAAGAGAAAAATAAAATGCTTCCTCTAGACACGACGGATTAGGACGGGAGATTGCTCATGTTTTGCCATTGACGGTGATAACTTGATCGGTCTTTGCATGCCGATCCAGCATTGCACGTCCCCATCGATGCGGTTTAGTGTCTTTGCCTTTCGACTTCCCACTTTGAGGGCGGGTCTAGTAGGGAAAAGTCTCACATGAACTCGCTGACCCGTGTTAGGGATGTGGGTAAGACAAAATTTCAAGACAACTTTTTTTCAGGATTCTGAAATACGTTTTCTCACGTTACTCATAAATTACACGTTGCACAACGATAAGAGTATATTCTAGAATATTCGCTAGAATGAACTGATTTACGAACTAATTCTATGGATAACCAGGGTCAAGGACGTAGTCAACATGAGCAGGAGTAGGTTTAGGAAGGGCATACATCCACAACTGACTTCATTAATTGGCATGCAAATTACCGTATGAGATTTCACGCTGGCTGCGTTGCAACCGAACACGAGGGAACAATACATCTCCGTAGCTTCTGGAGGCCTTTGTCTGAGAGCTCTTACTTAATATTTACCAAAGAGTATCATCTGTTAATAATACTGTATCGTTCAAATTCTTCGTAAAGTGAAGAAGGTCAATGTAAATATCGTGTGTCTTTCGTTCTCATATAATAACGTCCAAAGTTAAGTTACATAACTTTGGACGTTATTATATGAGTAAATTATATCATGTCAGAAAGGCATATTAGTCTGATAGTACTCGTATATTAAAAAAATAAAAACTTATAGATAAATAGAACCAATTTCAAACTTAAAAAAAAGTAATATAAAACATATCAATATCACTTAAAACATGACATAAAAACTTTTAAACATAGAACCGGCTTCAAACTTTAAAAAGTGAAAAATTATACTTATCTCAAAAGCGACTTATTCAAGAAAGTGCTATTGCAGTCGGGCGCTTATCATTTAATTAATAACCTACAGAAAACCTCCGCCCGGTTTGAATAGCATTTTCTTGAATAAGGCGCTTTTGAGATAAGTATAATTTTTCACTTTTTAAGTTTGAAGCCAGTTCTATTTTTAAGTTTTTATTTCATGCTTTTTAGTGATATTGATATTTTTTATATTATAGGTAACACTAAAAATACCTTTCTGATAACTACGTCAAAATCGGTTCGGCCAAACGTGAGATAATTGCGCCCAAAAATACATACATACAGGTCAAACTAAGAACCTTCTTTTTTGAAGTCGGTTATAGAGAGGATATTTTTGACGTGGATACGTCTATGTTTTCGTTCTACAGGGGGGTCATTCTGCAGGAGTATATGCACTAACGCCATCTATTGGCGTATAAGTGAACTATGCTTGCTCTGCAGGGGGAGGGGCGTTCTGTCAGCAGGAGTATATGCACTAACGCCATCTGTTGGCGCTAGTGAATACTTTTTTCATTCAACAAATGAACGCAACGAATATTTATTTATTTAGTGTTTAGTGTCTTCAATTTGTTTATTTTTTTTTTTGAATTATTCATTTATAAATGCAATTATGCCACAACGTTGCATAATTCCGGGTTGTTTTGGAGAAGCGAATCGTTCATTTTTTAGAGTGCCAAAGAACATTGATAGACGTGAAGAGTGGTTAAAAGCTATTCGTGATGTTTCCTAACCTGGATGTTGGTGAAAATTTTTATGTTTGTGAAAAACATTTTAAAGAAGCAGATTTTACGGCATATATAATTGACAAATCTGGAAAAATTATTCAAAAGGTATCATTATAATATACAATACAATAAATAAATAAAAAATTAGCTTTATGCCATACGTATGCATATGTACACATCCATCTACGAACACGTAAATATAGCTTTATATGCGTTAGCAATAAAATGTAAAATATTTTTGAGTGAATTTGCTAATCTTTAAATAAAAATAAATAAATTCGTGCAAATTCAAGTAAAGGACATCGTCGAAAATGGCCCCAATATGAACAAGCATGAATATTTTACAATAAATCGCCGACATCTTTACTGTCATGTCGTACATGAAGCTGTTAAGGATGTTCTACTTGTAATGTATATAATAATCGATAACTTGATTACACTTTAATTTTTACACTACGAACGATTTTTTTCATTCGTTATAAATTGACATATTAATAAATGGCGAAATATAAAAAAAAAACTTTTTAAAACTGAATACAATATTCGTATATGATTTAATCAAATACTATTTATTAGCACATAATCGTATGCTAATATTTGGTTAAGCATTTGAGAGTATTGCATGCTTTTAATGTAGTTATGTTTTAATTGCATGTTACATGTTTGATATACATTACCAATCATATTATAAAAAAAATCTGTTGAAGTACCTACTGTAGGTACTTAAACATAATTATAATTGAATAGTATTTCTTCTTCTATTTTTATTTACTTAATTCTTTATATAAGTTTATTTTTACAAAGAAACAAATATGGGTAGAATAAATAAATGTAGGGTGCTTTGTTAAAAGCAAAAACGCACTGCAAAAGTAAATGGCATCGAAAATCATAAAAATCTTTTTCAACCGAATTTTATCGAATCCCATCTTAGTGTATCTGGAACTGGTGAATTTTTTAAATATCAACAATAATGTTGATTTAAGAAATATAAATATATTAGGCATTTTAAATACATTCGTAAAACTAAAATTATGTTGCCTATATTAAATCAAACAATTGCTAAAATATTATTAGTTAATTCATGTTAAATAATTTCATATTATAGAAGATTGTTTACTAGAGTCGACAAAACTATACGATGAAAATCAAACTAAAACTCTTTTAATTTTTAGAATTTCAATTAGCTATTAGAACGATTTCAGCGTTTGGATATTTATTTACATAAATTGATTTTCATTATTGTAATCGATTATCTTGATTCACTTTTTCCAGATGAAGTAGAAACTCATCCCTAATTCTTACTCGCTCGCTCTTGATTTTTTGTGATTGTTTGTGTTGTGAACTTTGAATTTAATTTTGTTATTTTATTAACGACCAACTTTGTGATTACTCAAACGATAACCTGGATTGATAATGGATTTACGTACGCATACGAAATGGAATCTGTCTTTTGTGTTAATTGTGGTTCTGCTAGTGGTTTTTTTTTATCAATTACTGATATATCCATTCATACATAGACGTATCCACGCATAAAATATGGCTGTATCAATGATACAGCCAACCAGGGTTTTCTTAGTATTTGACAGTCAGGTCATCAGGTTTTCCAAACTTTACTTGTGTTAAGGCTCCCTTGACTATAAATAAACAAGTCCATCAACTGTTTAATAAACATAAATAAATAATCTGCTCTTGCATATATAACGATAGATGATTATTACTCAGAAAAACCTTGGGGTACGCGCCCCCGGTCTATATAGTTGTATTAAGTAATTACCTTATTTTGATCAGGGGTTGCCTTCAGACCATCACATGCATGAGTACGCCGGTAACGTACACAGTCTAAGTCGTATTGATACGAACGTGGAAACACATCTTGGTGAGCTGAAATCATATGTAGCCTTATAAAACTCACTATTATAAAATCACTGTTAATGGTATGGTAAATAAGGTTTATGTTTTTTAAACAAAGTTTGACTCTAAAAAGCGAAAAAATTGTATTCTACAAGTTAAGACTTATAAGCCTTTTCAAATGAATCCAATATTGAGTGGATTGTTCAGAATTAAATACACCGCCATTTTGTTACGACGGTCGTATTGGATTGGATAATAAATAATACTGATTATATAATTGACCTGTCATCAGAGCTAAAGGTACATTTCAAATTTTAGTTTTAACGGACACTGGGAAGTGGTTGAAATTTCGCTTGCAAGATCTCATTACAAAAAGACAAATATCGGGACAGGTGAAACTAAATATATAATTCATATTTGTGAGTGAGACTCGCTATTGGTAAGTTTTTATTTTATAAACTTTAACACAGAAGAAGAGAACAGGAAACCTTATAAGACCCTATGAGTTACTTGATACCTATAAGATCTTTGCTTAATTAAAGCGTTTAATCTATGCATAGTACAAAACAAAGTCGGTCTCGCTGACTGTATGCTGAGACCTTTCAAACTATACAATGGACATTATTGTGATCAATATACCTACACCTTGATTTAAAAGGAAGGTTTATATGTGTAATACAAGCTCACGGGGGCGAAAAAGTTTCATTGTAAAGTATTGTTTAAAAAACAACATGCATAGAAGACAACACTACGGATCGATCGATGAACCAAACTTACAATACCTTTAATGGTAGCAGTTCTGTTGCACAAACTAGACTAGAAAATGTGTAATTCTATCAAACTTATCTATGATTTAGCTACTATTACAATATTTGTGGCTATATTATGCCTCATTTACACTGGTCGACGAGATTAGTACAAGGAGCGCGGGCGACCTCAGCGTGGTCATTTCATTGGTCAATAAAATAAACGGTGTGGGATGTGAAGGGACTAGATTGAACAAGACGGGACAGGATGCGAAAAAGTGTACCAGACGTATCGGGATATACAAATAATAAATATTAAACAACAAAATATACGTTGCTCAGATTCCAAGATGAGTAGCTAAAGCCTCCGTATTAAGGAGTATCTGAGTAACGAAGGTAACACACACATTTTGTAAACAAATTGAAACTTGCGAATGCAGCAGGAGGTTGCAGAGAATAATTACTAAAGCATAGAAACCTCGCTAAAAAAGCAAGCAAGACATATATTCGTCTTTTTCTCCTTTTCGATCCATGCAAATCCATAGCTTTACTATTTTTGGCTTAATGACATTCCGTTAACATTTTATCGATAAAAACAAGTTAACATTATAAAATAAGCTGGTATGAAAATGTTATATTTTTTAAAATAAATTAAGTACTTCATTTTTAATAAAATAAATATGAAATAAATTATTAACATTCACAAAATACAATTATAATATTAGTATAGATATCAACCATTAGCATATATGTTCATACAAATAAATTATTAAACATAATATGTATCTATTAAAATTGTTTTCTATTTGGTGTCCCTAATCCCTATCATTATGGTAGAAGAATATAATAAAATTGTGTTATCGATAAAGAAATCTACATCACTATACAAAAAGACATGATGTAAATAAAACTTCTGATAATTAATGCAAAAATCGCCAGGCAATTAGACATGAAAACACGTACTATTATTATATTATCAAAGTTTTAGGTAATTCACTTATTTCAATAAAGTCGAAAACAATCATAACTCACCAATGAAATGTAATTGTATCTCGAGTCCTTCTTGTGTGAGACTTATAGCCCACGATTATACAAGATTTTTTTATCACAGATGTTCTTTAACTCTGAGGTTTTACTATCACAAACACTTTGAATTATAATATTTTCTTAATTGGTTTTCTTTTTCAGAGATATACCAATTACCGTGTAAGTATTAGTGTCACAGTGATGCTACCAAGTGAAACTGCCATTTATATATAATAATAAATAAATAAAAAATGAATTTATTTTCCCCACAAATACAGAAACATGGTTACATGTTATCGAATAAACACAATCCTAAAAGAAGTCCGCCTATGAGGCGCGATAGCCAAGATAGATATTGAAATATCGTGTTATTTACGGGTACGAGTTTGTATGGTGGTTGTGTCGCAAAAGAAAACACAGCGCGTTTTTGGTTCCAACGTTTTCGTTCTGGAAATTTCGACCTGCAGAACAAGCCCCATGAACGGCCGGAGACCCAAGTTAATAATTAAGAATTGAAGGCTATTGTGGCAGCGGATCCATCGCAAACCACGTCCGAGTTAGCTGCAGGCTGCGGTGTTAGTGATAAAACTGTTTTAATCCACTTCAAGCAAATTGGAAAGATTAAAAAGCTTGAAAGGTGGGTACTTCACGAATTGAGTGAAGCAAACCGGCAAACGCGCTTCGACTGCTGTGTTACATTACTATAACCGGCACAATAGTGAAGGGTTTTTACATAATACAAAAAGATGACCGCCTGTCGACTTAGTGAGGAACTGGTGTCTGTGAGGCGCGATAGCCTCAAGTACAGATCACCAGGGGAGCGATCGCCTAGCTCATAGACGTAGCTGTAGTTGTAACTATAACCTACGCTTTATAGGCGTTTCACATGAGTCTGTTGATATTGTTTTAAAATTAATCGTAATTTATAATTTACATACTTAATCAATGCTTTTGGTTGTTTTTTTTTACTGAATTATTAAAGTTAAACTAAATTTATAAAATGTTCAATTGATGCAAACAATGCTATTTCGAAAAGAAAAACAAGCCAAAATGTTTGATAAAATATATGTTTGATAATAGATAATATAAACAGATTCATGAGAGATATTGATAAAGAGTAGGTTATAGGTAGAGTTGGCGATCGCGCCCCAGGACCCCACGGGGAATATCCTCAGTCGAATGATAGTAAGGCAAGCAGTGACGCACTTTCAAAATAGCACGTTGAACCCTTTCCATTTTTAACATATTACTTTCTGAAGAGGGAAAACTTGGGTAGGCCCAAGAGGCGATACAACAAAAGAGCAGTGATAGACAGAGTGCTGGGTAAATATTTTTCATAAGTTTTTTATCAGCAATTTGGAGTAAATTTTTTAAAAATAACTATTAAATTTCTTACTCGGTTTGAATTCCTGAAACTAACACTCTCAACCTTTTTTTATCAAGATTTGGACAGAAACTGTATCGAATGCTTTTGCGAGATCCAGAAACAAAGCGATGGCTTTCTTTTTTCTGGCGAAACTGGTTAACAAGTTTGTCAGTGATATTTTTTAGATCTGAAGCCATGTTGGGATTGCGATATATAATTGTACTTTTCAAGGTAACTGGTTAATCTCGTATTAAGCAAGCGTTCTAAAATTTTCGATAAACTTGTTAGAATACTTATGGGTTTTCTATACAGACCTTGTAACCATTCTTATGAATGAGATGTATTCTTGCTTTCTTTAATGCAGTTGGAAATATACCAGTCGTCGTTGGCAGGTTACATGTGTATGTATTTGGGGGGACTAAAATACCTTTATTTCTTTTTAATAACTCAACTAGGATTGAGTTTATGCCTACAGCGCAGTCAGATTTTAGATTGTCAATTAAGGTTTGAATCGCATCATCATCAGTCGGTAGAAGAACAAAAGAGTTTGTTTGTGAACTGGACGAAAAAGACGACGTAGCAGTGTAAGGTTTCATTATTTACTGTGCTATAGATTCCCCAATATTTACAAAAAATCGGTTTACATTATTCGTAGATCGTGACGGATTATTAATTAACAATTTTGTAGGTATATCTTTAGTTTTGACAGTGTATGTGATTTCTTTGATGGTCTTCTAAAGTAGCTTGTTGTTATTTGTATTATATAATTTGCATTTATCATAGTTTAATTTTAGTTTTTTTAATAATAGAAAAGCATTATTTGAATTTCGTTTCATTTTCTTATCTAAGTTATGGATTTCGCTATGTGGTTATTTTGCGAGCGCCACAACGCACTACAACAAATAGCTCAATGAGCGATTTTGATCTTTCAGCGCAACATATATAAGATTAAGAGAATATAACGATCTTTTAATCTAGTAATATAAAATCTGTAAATACATCAACATTCACAGCCAGTTTGACAATTAACCTTTTGACAACCTTAATAAATAAGAAACAAATGTAGATTCATTTTCTAATTTACTCTTATAGGCAAATTCAATTGCGTAATTTTGTGACAGATAGCTATTTTCAACTCTTACTTTTATTATGGTTTCTATGCTTTAGTTATTATTATAAAGTTACGACGGCTTTTAAATCAGCCATCCTAGTGAACGTTTTAATTGTTATAATGATTAAACTCTGTTTTAACCAGTTGACTGCGATATATATTTAAATATAGCATTCCAAGAGATATCATCGACCAATGTAAATACACCATTGTAGGTATATCTATCTTACGTGGTTTCACCATTTCAGTAGTCATGCCATAGTTGTAATAGGAATCATGTAGAGTATAGGCGTTGGAACCAGGTTTGTCCACCCAGAAGGCTTTATCTTTGAGTACCATTTGGTCGATGACTTTGTCAGGCAACTCATCTATCGTCGGTCTGTTAATAATTTCATTCTATTTATATGTGTCTCTCGATATCATTACGCCAAATACCTTGTGGAGTGGGCAGAGGAACTAAGGGTCATCAAGCATTCCTTACACCATCTATTGTTTCTTTTATATCGATCTATTTCGTAGTGAACATAGTATTATAACTTAATAAATAATTTTAATTTCTTCACTAGGTAACCAGTGAAGAAACTAAAATTTTTATGCTAAAAAGTCTCGTCTTTGGATTACCCCGTGAGGGATGTGGCGTGTAGATAACATCTTATTGAGATCTATGGCTGCGTGATAAATTATTTAATATTTAAAATTACTGTTGTACGTTTATATCAAAATATTGGTAAAGGTTAGATAAAAATTATTTCTTAATCGTCGAATAAATCATCGACAATACTAAACTTTTCCATAAGTTAACGAAATAGGCATATTATTTTGGAAATATAAAAACAACTTCCCCTACTTTTCAGACTTTCTCTTGTTAAATAATAATATATTTATTTGAGGTTTAAGCAATTTAAATACTATGGACTTACGCTGGCGGTATCATGGAAAGTTCTCTAGTCAAAGGTTGTAAAATTTTTCCGATAGTTTGTTGTGTCAAACATGGCGGCCTGCCGGGAGTCAAACCTTCATCGGTGCGCACAGTAAGGGATACATCGGTCACTGTGTATCTAAAAAAAAATTCATGCTAAAAATAATCATTCAGTCACAAGAATCAAACTAATTAAACTTTTATTTTAGAGTTGGAAATCTTTCAATTTTTTTACTTAATTTAAAACCTTACAACAGCGAGGGTAAAGAGAAAATCAAGTGTGATATTTTGAAGTAACCTGCCGTAACCTGACTGCTGTAAAGCTATTATTTTTTAAACTCTGAAAGTGTTTGAAATAACGATAGGGTTTAGCTACATCTGGCAGATGGGTATCGCTATTTATAGTGGTCTTATCCTTTACTGTAGCTTAGGAAAGGATAGAACGAAATAAACCGTTATTTCGTTTTCGTTTATAACTATTTGAGGTAAGCAAATTTAATCGTATCTATTAATACGATCCGATTTGCTTAATTCAAATGGAATCTTTTGAGAAATCTTAGTTACTTTTCAGGATCGTAGCCAGTAAATTTAGAAACATTGCTTCTCGGGTCACTTGGGTGGTTAGCTTGCATGATTTTTGCTAATTTATATTTTAAGTAGTAAGATAATCTTGTTTTTATCTTGAATAATAATAATGATCTATATATTATATGTCATCTAATCTGTCCATTGGTTGGTTATGTAGGTACTTGCATTTATGGAGTTTCCTGTTATTCACAGACCAAGAAGAAGATACTACGTCAATAATAAAAAGAGTAATAAAGAGTAGAAGTATATATTCTCTTTGTTTAAGTCAAAGAGTAAAGTATATATTTTAAGTCTTTAGAATAGGCTTTGAAGCAACTGGATCGATTTAAAACCCTTAAAAACTTTTATAACTAATGGTGTGCGGAATCAATTACCATTAATCGATTATATGAATTGTTAAATAATCAGTTGCTATCGATTATGATTATTTAATTGACGATTAACCATCGATTATTTCTTAAAACGTTAGCAATAGGAATAGTTCAAAACGTTAGTATAGTACCTACTTACTTTACTTCGATGGCTCAGCAATCCATAGCGGCTCGCGAGTGTGAATATTATTAGTAGATATTCTATTACTCATTAAGGCAACCCTGGAATACTCCCACGGACAAATAGATAACATTACTCTTTGGTCGGGGAACTCCCGATGAATGAATGAACGAATCTTACAGTTTTATTTTAACAAACACAAATTAACCGTTTCTTACTAAATGCACATGTAAGTACGAGTATACACGGTACATACCTATACTAAAATAGTATTTTTTACATTTTTTGCCTGTCTGTTTGTTCCGGCTAAACTCTGAAACGGTTAGACCAATTTTGACTCTGAAATTAAAAATTGATTTTTAATTATTTTTCATTAACTTGGGTGGCTTTAAAATACGGTGGAATTAATCTGAAATCATGTATAAACTTTTGGGGTAAAAATATTTAATAATCGTTGAACCGAATCGATTATAAATATTAATCGATTACGACTATAATCGATGTGTATAATAATCTAATCGGCACATCGTAACTTATAACCTTACCAGAGGTAAGAACGATTTTTTTAAAACATCGCCAAAAGTAATGATGAAGAAGGTATTTAAAAACATTTGTTAAAACATTAATTTTTAAACGTAAATTTGTTTTCAAAACTCATTAAAGAACTCATATTCTATTTGTACTGTATTGTTATGTAAGTTTCGAACTTATAAAATTTCAGTGTTTAATATGTTAATTAAAAGGAACGGAAATTATTGTCTTTAGTCCATTCGTTTCGCTAGTCGCCATCTAGTGGAGATGCTTTTTTAGTGCTTTCATTTTTTTGAAATACTTCATTGCGTGAACTATAATACATTGAACCAAGACAAATTTCTTAAAAAGGCTGGCAATGTCTGTTCACCACAGATTTTTTTTCTATTTTCAATTTTGTTCGTTTTTATGGAGTCATTAATGCAAAAAAAAACATTGAATTACTTTGTGAAGCATAATTAAAGAAACCAATATTGTTTGTGAAAAAATATTGCAGCTAAAATAAAAAATAGGTTTTTATTACAATTGAACCGAATATTCGTTTAGCATTCGGTGTATCTGCCATCTTTATCATTATTTGTATTCGGCTGAAATATTCGGTTTTATTGTCGAATATATTCGAATATTTTTTTTCTTGGGTAGACGAAGAAATAAGAGGAAATATTTTATGATGTAAGATTTATTTTTTATAAGTCAAAGAATTCCAATAAAGAATGTGTTAAATCAAGTTAATGCAACAAAGTAATTGTACTTTAAAATTTAAATCATAAATATAACCTCAAAACACTTTTTAAACTTAATTATTCCATTTAATAAACCAAAATTTTTCTTTTTAGATCGTATATTACCATTTATTTAAAAAACCTCAAATCTTTTTTTTTAATTTTTAATGAACATTATTAAGGGAACTTTACAATAAAAGACACTTTAGTAGAAATAAATAAAGACAGATAGCACATAGAAGAAATGTGGCTAAATAAAAACAATAAAATGGTGAACTGAATAATTCAGTCCAATAACTTTAACCTTTGATTTAGCAACAGATTTTAATTTGAAGTCTATTTAAAGTTTAATAGGATGTGACACTATTAAAATTAAGTTGCGTATTATGGTCATATAAGAAAAGGAAATTCAAATATTTTTTTTTGAATTTCAATAAACGACGAAAACGCACTGTAGTTCGTTGTCGTCGCAACTAATAACAGCTAAAAACAAATACGTATTTGATAACTAGGTTATGTCCCCTTGACATATTTACCGGCATGTTAAAAAACCTCAAATGTGCTAATATTTCTCGGGAAAGCGTCATTGAGAGCCGGAATCAACTTGTGTCTGATATTGAATCTTCGTTAGAGGAAGTTTAACTGAGGTCGACTTAATTTGGTCCACTTCAACCCTACTAAGACACAGGTTTGCGCGTTCACCGTCAAAAAAGCCCCTTTTGTCGTATCAACTCGCTTTCAAAACATTCCCCTAACTGCCTCAGCCAATATTGAGATTCTCGGTGTCGACATATCGAGCAAGGTCCAGTTCCGTGGTCACTTAGAGGATAAAGCTAAATTAGCATCTAAGAAGCTAGGTGTGCTTAATAGATCGAGGCATTATTTCACTCCGGCGCATCGCCTGCAGCTTTACAAGGCGCAGGTTCGGCCCCATATGGAATACTGTTCTCATCTTTGGGCAGGTGCACCCCAATACCAGCTTCTCCCTCTAGACCGCATTCAGCGGAGAGCGACTCGAATCGTTGATTGCCGGGACACTTCAAGTCGGCTTGATCCACTGGCCCTGCGTAGAGATGTTGCTTCACTGTGCATCTTCTATCGCATCTATTACGGGGAATGCTCCGAGGAATTGTTCGGACTTATACCTGCCGCTACTTTCCGCCATCGTTCCACGCGACAAGAAATCCACGCCCATCATGTGGATGGTTGGAAGTCCTCAACTGTGCGTTTTTCTAGAAGTTTTCTGCCTCGCACAGCCAAACTCTGGAACAGTTTGTCGCCAGCGGTATTTCCGGACCGATACGACCTTCGAACTTTCAAGCGTAGAGCTTATTCGTCCCTCAAAAGCTGGCAGCGCACTTGTAGCTCCTCTGATGTTGCAGGTGTCCATGGGCGGCGGTAATCACTCACCATCAGGTGATCCGCTTGCTCGACTGCCCCCTATTCCATAAAAAACCCTGGTTGGCTCTATCATTGATACAGCCATATTTTATACGTGGATACGTCTATGTATGAATGGATATATGAGTAATTGATAAAAAATATTCATGCTTGTTCATATTGGGGCCATTTTCGACGATGTCCTTTACTTGAATTTGCACGAATTTATTTATTTTCATTTAAAGATTAGCAAATTCACTCAAAAATATTTTACATTTTATTGCTAACGCATATAAAGCTATATTTACGTGTTCGTAGATGGATGTGTACATATGCATACGTATGGCATAAAGCTAATTTTTTTTTAAATTATTGTATTATATTTATTGTATTGTATAATATATAATATGGCTTTATGCCATACGTATGCATATGTACACATCCATCTACGAACACGTAAATATAGCTTTATATGCGTTAGCAATAAAATGTAAAATATTTTTGAGTGAATTTGCTAATCTTTAAATAAAAATAAATAAATTCGTGCAATATAATGATACCTTTTGAATAATTTTTCCAGATTTGTCAATTATATATGCCGTAAAATCTGCTTCTTTAAAATGTTTTTCACAAATATAAAAATTTTCACCAACATCCAGGTTAGGAAACACATCACAAATAGCTTTTAACCACTCTTCACGTCTATTAATGTTCTTTGGCACTCTCAAAACTGAACGATTTGCTTTTCCAAAACAACCCGGAATTATGCAACGTTGTGGCATAATTGCATTTATAAATGAATAATTAAAAAAAAATAAAATAAACAAATTGAAGACACTAAACACTAAAGAAATAAATATTCGTTGCGTTCATTTGTTGAATGAAAAAAGTATTCACTAGCGCCAACAGATGGCGTTAGTGCATATACTCCTGCTGACAGAACGCCCCTCCCCCTGCAGAGCAAGCATAGTTCACTTATACGCCAATAGATGGCGTTAGTGCATAGCAGGAGTATATACTCCTGTTCACAGAATGACCCCCCTGTAGAACGAAAACATAGACGTATCCACGTCAAACAAAAAAAAAATGTTACGCCACAAATACCACGTGATTTGAGCCATTTCAAAGAGCTGTAGTTTTTGCGCAACTGCGTGTGCTTATATATATCAAACAAAATAATTTTCAGAAAAGAGTCAAATACCCTATATATATATAAATACTTTGACTTAAAATATAACATCAATTTTTCATAAGAATTTTTTATATCGTGTCGTATAGTTAAAAAAATATAAATACTCGAAATGAATATTTTCAGCATCTAAACCGAGTAATTAGGCCGAAAACAAATAGTACAAAAGTAGCCGAATACTCCGAATACCGAATACTAAACAACCACCCGCGCATCTCTAAATTTTAGTCAGAGAATTCGAGTTAGCATTCACTTAAAATAGTTTTCAGAAAACTACTGAACCGATTAAATTTTAGTCATCTGCTCGAGTCTCAAAATCGTGACTCTATGGTAAAAGACTCCTTTGCTCTCTAAATGTGACATTTAAAAACAAAATAGAAATGTAGTGAGGCAGGACAACTATGTTTTATTTTGTGACTCACGTTTATAAGTTAGGTATTTTTATTTAACAACATGTCTAAAAACATTGTTTTTGAGGGTTGGTTGACCAAATCGCCACCCTCAAAACGTATCTGGAGAACGGTAAGTCATACACCCAGACATAAATAGGTGTTCACGTTTGTTGACATATTTTGCATTTCTGAAAAAATGCACTGAAATTGCTTTGTTATTACAATGTTCAGAGTTATGCGTTATTCAAGTTGGTTTTCAGTATTTATGGTACATTAAAATGTGCATATTTTGTCACGTACCAGAAATGGCGGAGAAGGTGGTTTGCCTTGCGCCAGTC